TTTTTTTTACATATACAATTGTTCTGTGTATGTTTTTACTACACTGCAAATCAATTCTGGATGCTTCGTGGGAAAAGATTCATGAATAAATAACAATAATATGAATTTTTATCTTGTAAGCTGCCTTTGAGTTTGCTTTTTTCATGAAGAGGAATGGGGCGTATACATTTCTAAGTAATGAAAAATATGGAGCTGCAACTTGAGGACCAAGGCTGTACCTTGGTTAGTTCAGGCAACCCTGATGAGGCACATGTCAAAGATGTTTCTCTAATTGGCAGTGATTCATGGTAAATGGCCACTCTCTCTATATGAACAAATTCATAGGCCATTGGCTCCTGAACACCTAACCCAAGAGATATTGAAGTTCTGCTGAAAAGCCATATTACATTTTTTTTGCAAAAAGAAGAAGAGGAGGAAATGGGAATTTAGAGTTTGTGATGAGCTGTGCCTTGCTCCCAAGCAGGAAGACCAATAGACCAGTTGTGTGTGTGTGTGTCTGAGAGCAAGCAGGTAAGCGAGCCCTATTAACATACTGCCCCTTTCCTTGCTTTAGACTGCCCTTCTCCATTTCTTTAAACAATGACAATACTTCCCTTTGAAGTGAACTGTCACCATGGAAACAGATTACTAAAGGATGCAGCTAAGCATTGCCTTTAAAAAAGAAAGGAGGGGGGGAAGCAAGTAAGCGCAGCCTTTGGTGCTGGGAGCGCAAGACTCGGCAGCATCAGGTTTCTGGCCTTGGGCTTAATCTTGGCGTTCTGTGGAATGGGGAGAAATTGAATGTGTGCCGCAGAGCCGTTTATGAAAGTTTGCCATGCTTGGAAGGGGAGAGGGAGGGTGGCAAGCCATGATTTTGTTGCAGAGAACGGCGCTGGGTTGTCAGATGTAATATTGCAACTCATGCTGGTTCAATTCTGGGGTTATCATTTCATGCAAGTTAACTCGGCAAAACAGAAAGGACATTTCCCCTCTATTTCAACTCTGGTCTGCCTCTAGGCTTGCCTCAGCCAGCTATGCTAGTGCTGTACTTTATTTGTGGAATATGAGAACCTCTGAGCATAAGCCCTCCAAGTGCCCCTATTTTCCAGGGACAGTCCCGGATTTACAGAAGCCATTCCGGTTTCTGATTTGATCCTGCTTTTCCTTAGGACATCCCTGTTCTCGTCGGAGAAGTTTTGGAGGGTATGTGAGCATGCACGTAAAGGCACACACAAACACCCTAGGAATGCAGAACTCAGAAGGCTCACAGGGCACCTCCAAAGTATTTTTGCAGGAGGGAATCAGGCATATGCCAGAACTTCTAAAGTAGAATGAAAAGTCTTGGTCAGGGTCCAGAAACTGCTGTTTTTAGAGGGTTTGTAGGCTTCTTAAGACACAAAGAGGGCAGCTCTGCACATTTTGTATCAGTTTTATACCAGCTGAACTGACAGAAGCTCCCCCCCCCCCCAGCACTGGGCACGTTTGCTGGGACTAACAGTCTGGTGAGATCCTAAGCTTCCTTTATGAAACTATAGTTCCCAGGGTTCCCAGGGAGACAAATGATGACTCTTCAATCCGTTTTAAGTGTGTGTTGTAGAAATGGCCCATTGCTAATACAACTGCTACTCATGTTCCCTTCCGCAAGCTATTTTGCCCTCATTATCTTACCCTATGATTGTTGCAGCCATAATTTTAGGAGGGTTTTTGTTTACGCTCTCTGTGCATTGTGGTTGCCATTAACAGCAGTGTAACCCACTTTTGCTTTAAATGTTCCATAATGGAAATCGGTCTCTTCCTTTGCTGAATGGCTGTGATCCTACAAGTTCACCCTGCTTATTTATTTTTACAAAAGCAAACTCGGAGTCCGACAGTAAGTGTGCTAATAATCCCTTTCTAGAAGGAGGATTAGAAGAAGGGTCAGAAAGCCAACAAAACTTTGTATTATTGACACGGGAACAAGAGGCACGGAAACAAGATATGTGGCACTGAGTATTGACAAAAACAACTGGGCCAGTTCTTAGGAAAAGCGCCCTGCTTTGCTGATTCAGCCAGTGGGCTAAATCTGTTTGCTGAGGACTAAACAGAGCCTTCCCTTTCAGAAGAATTTCACCCAATTTTCCCCATTAGCAGAGCCTTTGTAATAATGATCCTCTCTGTCTTTTAAATTTATGCTCAGATCTAAATTGATTGGCAGATTACTTAAAATGCTAAGAAATAGTTCCCTGGGGAATACTGTATATTTAGTAGCATTTTTCATAGATGATTTGTTGCAGAATACTGTGACGAACTGTACATTATGTTTGTAGGAAGCTGCCTCATACCAGGGTCTTAGTCTGTTTGCCTGTCTAGGGTAGTCTTGTTTACTCTGAATGGCAGAGACTCTCCAAGTACCATCACCTGGTACCTGACCCTTGTAACTACAGTGGTACCTTGGTTCTCAAACTTAATCCATTCCAGGAGTCTGTTCGACTCCCGAAAACCAAGGTGCTGCTTCTGATTGGCTACAGGAGCTTCCTGCACTCAAGCAGAAGCTGTGTCAGACGTTCGGCTTCCGAAAAACGTTCGCAAACCAGAACACTTACTTCTGGGTTTGCGGCATTCGGGAGCCAAAATGTATGAGTACCAAGGCATTTGAGAACCAAGGTATGACTGTAGAGATGTTGGGGATTAAACCTGGCATTCTTTGCTAGCCCAACCGTAGGATTAAGCTGCTGGTGCAGATTACTTCTGGTATATAACGCGTGGATTCAAGCCCAGTTACAGTATTTGATTTGAAAGTTTGAAAACTGTTGAAAAGTAGGTAATTAGACATCTGGGCTATGGAGAATTCCTGCTGCTGTTGAGAGTAGACCACAATTCCTCAACCTGGTTGACTTGCCAGCAGGCCCATCCATGATGGGTGGTGGTCAGAAATGATGGGAATTGCTAGTCCAGCAACACCTGGAGGGCAACTGGTTGGGAAGGCTGGAGCAGGCTTAAGATAGCCTGTGTCGTGTAGTGGATTGAGTGTTGGGCTGGGACCCGGGGTTCAATTCCTCACTCGGCCATGAAAGCTCACTTATCACCCTTGGTCTCTCTGCCCAACCTACCTCACCAGGTTCTTATGAGGATAATGTGGGAAGAGGGGGAATTGTGTACACCAGCTTGAGCTCCTTGGAGGAAAGATAGGACATATCCTTAGGTGCTGGGTGAAAACATTTCTCTTCAACCAGGCATTGGACTGACTAACATTCTAGTGCTACATTAATCATCTGCATACTATCCCTTGCTTTTTCCTGTAGGACTAATTGCAGTCGTTAACAGTCGTCAACAGGTTTACCATACCCATTGAGTCAATCACCCATCTCCTACTACCCTCCTGAGAAAAACCCCACCCCACCTTCCCACTATATATATAAGGGTCTGGTGACTTCTGTTTCAGTGTATCTGAAGAAGTGTGTACACACACGAAAGCTCATACCAAGAACAAACTTAGTTGGTCTCTAAGGTGCTACTGGGCATTTTTAAAATTTTTTAAATATATATTTCGACTGCTTCAGACCAACACAGCTACCTACCTGATTCCATGGCTTTTAAAACATGTTTGTGAGAGTGGGGATTATTGATTTGTTTTGGTTTATGCTTTATTATGTAGTATGCATTTTGTGTTCTCATTTTGTATTTTTGTGTTGTGAACTGCCCTGTGATCCTTGGATGAAGGGCAGTATTCAAATTTAATTAATAATAATAATAATAATGGAACAATATAAATGCAATAATAGATAAATCAAAGGACGTTCCCTACCCTATCCCATTCTAGTGTTCGTTCCTTGCGCTTCAGGGACATCAGCTTCAGGTTTCTTTTCCTCCAAAGGAAAGCGGCCAAATTTTCCTTGAGAAATCTCAGTTTTTTTGCTTCTGAAAGGAAGCAAGCCTTAGATCAGAGTTATGCAGTCAAAGCTAGATGATTATATTATCTGTCGTTTCTAGCAGTTTCTTTTAAATGTTCTCTTCCAATTAAGTTTTTTGTGATCTTGCAAAGCTTACCCTCGTCGTCTCTCTCTCCTCTCTCTGTTGTAAATTGGGTTTGGAAGGGATTTGAAAGAGATAATAAGATCATATACATTTTAGAGCTTATATATATATATTCACACACAGCCTAACTTCTCCCACATTCTGCTTCCCTACTGAGTATGAGGTTTAAGAAAAGCAATTCCACTGGTTCCTGCATTAATTCCGATTGTCTCCAAGTTTTAAATTTGCACAGTGTGTGAGAGATGTGTCATTTTGGAAGGATGAGCACCTTTTCAGATATATGGAAATATTTTTCAATGGTCTGTTTGAAACCAGTGGGGTGCAGGCAGAGTGTGTAGGAATTGGATTATAAACTAGGCCCCCATGAATGGGAAGACATAAAAGACTTTTTTGTTGTTGCAGTTTCTCTGCACATTCCATGAAACGTGGGCCACGGGGCCGGCAAGGAACAGGCAGCCTCTTTCACCAGGATCTGTTGGTCACATTGCTCTGTGACACTATGTGCACCCACAAGAGTTTGGCTCTTCGGACGTCCTCCCACGAGCAGTGTCTTCTGATTTAAAGCAATCTACCAGGAAAAGGCTTGCAGCTCAGTGGCAAATCTCCTACTTTGCAAACCAAAGACCTCGGGTTCAATCCATGGGATCTGGAGGGAAAAGTTCACAAAGACCCCTGTCTGATATCCTAGGAAGTCTCTGCCAATGAATGAAGGCAAAACTGAGCTAGATGAACCAACAATCCTGTTCCATATAAGACAGCCTCTTGTATTCCTCAGGGAACTCATGCAAGCATGCTTTTCAGTGTGGAAACAGTTCCCATACTATCATAAGGAATAAAGTCAGTGTTCCTTGGCTCCTGCACACAGATGAAAAATAGCAAGGAATTTTTGATTTCAGCATATGTGTCTGGCAGAAATATTTTTTATCCCAAACGTGAATCATAGAGTTGGAAGGGACCCTGAGGGTCATCTAGCCCAACCCACTGCAATGCAGGAACCCTGCCCACAGCCATCCCCAGGTGGACTTGAACCACCAACTTTCTGGTTAATAGCCAGATGCACGGACCCACTGCGCCAAAAGATGAAATCTGGCCCAGCCCTATTTGTAATACTGAAGTATGCCATACAGCCAGGCCTAATATAATACAGTGATACCTCAAGTAACAAACCCTTCAGGTTACAAACTCCACTAACCTGGAAGAGTTACCTCAAGTTGAGAACTTTTCCCCAGGATGAGAACGGAAATCGTGTGCCGTCAGCTCGGCAGCAGCAAGAGGCCCCATTAGCAAAAGCACGCCTCTAGTTAAGAACAGTTTCAGGTTAAGAATGGACCTCTGCAATGAATTAAGTTCGTAACTAGAGGTACCACAGTACATGAATGGTAATTCCTGAAAACATAGGAGGCTGTCAGACCACTAGTCTTGCTAGTCAGTGTTGTTTACACTGAGCGGCAGCAGCAGCAGTGGATCCCCAGGGTTTCAGTCAGGAGTATTTCCCAATCTTGGGGGTGGTTCTAGGACCTTGTGGGTGCAAAGAATGGGTCCTGCCACTAAGCTTCAGCCCCTTCCGCTAACAGAATTGTGCCTGCAGCCCACAGCTATCTTGGAAGAATCTCTCTTTTTTCCTAATACTGCACTCCAAGGTTCTCGAGGAAGCAGGAGATTTGCAGTTCCACTCGTGGTGCAGGCTTCCGTAGCCTCTGCGGTGCCAAGGAAGGGGATGCCTGACATGTCGGGGCACATTGGAGAAATGGGTTTATTTTAATTTGTCATCATCACTCTGTTTCTTTTTAGACTTGGCAAATTCTGGCATGCAAGAGATGAGAGAGGCAAAGCTAGGAGAGGAAATGAGGCACCTAATACCTGACAAATGAGAAGTTCAGGTTTTATCAGATGTGATTCATCGTGGAGGGAACAGGAGCCTCTGCCTCCCTAAGGACACAACAGCCGTTGTGATGATGGTGAAGGGAGAAAATCAGCCCTGTAATGGCAGGAGCGGATTGGGAGTTGGCCTTATGTACATTCACTCCCACCCAAAGGAGGGGATGTGGTTGTGTGAGCAGCTTGTGTCCAGGCGGCTTCTGCAGTGGATGAAAGCAGCTGGCTTTGGATGCCCCCCTCCTTTGCAAAAGGGACATATCAAATGGCCCACCTTACAGAAGATGAAAGCTGTAAAACAACGTTGCAAATTAAATTAGTAGCAGCCAGTTCAGCATAGCCTTCCCTCGCGAGGATTTGCTAATCTTCTGCCCTCGAGAGATGCCTAAATTGCAAGGAGGTTGTTTTTTAAATGGTTCTGTTTCTAACAATTTTCATTGCTGTAAACTGTCTTGGGTGACTTCTTTTGAAAACCCTGCTGTATTAATTAACAAAAGAAAATGAATTAATGACATCTGCTAGCTCTGTAGGCTAGGAAACTCCTGCTTGCACTTTTTTATTATTATTATTTTAAAGAAAAGGGGGCAAAGCATCTACTTTGCATGCAGAAGATTCCAGGTTCAATCTCCAGGTAGGGTTGGGAGAGACTCCCTGTCTGAAATCTGGGAGATCCACTTCCAATCAGTCTAGACACAGTGCTGAGCAAGAAGGACCAGTGGATCTGACTCTCTATAAGGCAATTTTCTAGGTTCCTATGTTGTTCTTCAATGCAGTTTGATTAACAGCAGGGAAGTATTAGCTGGCTTCTAGGCAGAGTAAGTGGCTGTGTCTCAGAATCCTTGTAGGATTTTTTTACATTATAAGAAGAGCAAGCTTGTTTTGAAGGGGAACCAGGAGGGTTGCATAAGAGAAGCCTGGCAGATGTTTGACTGTGTCAAACTCTTATCCATGGTCTGAAGGTGAATTCTGGGAAAGACTGCCTTGCAAATAATGCACCTGCCAGCTTCTCTATCTGTTGGAGGGCACTTCTCAGATAGTGTGAATCACCAGCAAACACAAAAGTTGGGCCTCAGAAGGATTATTATCTTCACAGTGGGTCATTCCAAGAAGGGAAGGGGACTGGTGAGCACACAAGTCTTTCCCAGTCAGTTCCTTCCAGCAGGAAGCGACCTCTGTTTTTCATGGATGATGTTTCCAGGGAGAAAGATGTCAGGAACGAACTCTGGCCTTTTCAGCATTTTTGTTTTTTAATAATGAAAGTAAAACCTCTTAGCACAATAGCTATTGGGACCTATCAGTCTGAACTTGGGGAAGGTTTCCTATTCAAGGGGTTAGCTCTCTCATCTCTCCAGTTTTTAGATTGATTATCTACAAAACACTAAGGGAACAGGAAGTGATTTCTATTTTACACATACCAAAGGATAGCTCAGTTGGTTAGAGCGTGGTGCTGATAACTTTGTGGTTTTGCCTGGCCCTGATAAAGATAATGTCATACTCCAGCTGTTGCCACCATGTTATGAAACTTGAGCAGGATTGCTGGATGAAAATGGGTGGAGTTATGTAGAGTTTGTCATAGCCATTACTACTTCTAGTGGGAAGCCTGCCCATGTTAGGTCTCTTCAGGCATTCATCTCAAAAGGAGCCTGTGGGAGCATGAGGGGCTAACTCTGGCTAGGATTCCAGTCCTCATGCTGGAAACTCTTTATGCAATGAAGATGGCTTCCTGCAGGCTCACACAATTCTGCATTGGTCTGGAAGTAAGTTGAAGACGGTGGGTTATGTCCAACATTAGTCTTATTTAGAGCAGACACATTGGAATCATTTAAGAAGGATATTGACAGTTTAAGAAGGATATTGGCAAGCTGGAACGTGTGCAGAGCAGGGTGACCAATATGGTAAAGGTTCTGGAAGCCAAGCCTTATGAGGAACAGCTGAAGGAGTTGGGTATGTTTAGCCCGAGAGATGATGTGATGGCCATCTTCAAATATCTGAAAGGACGTCATATAGATAATGGAGCAAGCTTGTTTTCTACTGCTCCAGAGAGTAGGATCCAAACCAATGAATTCAAATGACAAGAAAGGAGATTCTGACGAAACATTAGGAAGAAATTTCTGAAGGTAAGAGCTGTTTGGCAATGGAATGAGCCACCTCAAAAGGTGGTGGACTCTCCTTCACTGGAGGTTTTTAAACTGAGGTTGGATGGCCATCTGTCAGGGATTATTTAGCTAGGATCCCTGCATTGCAGGGGGTTGGACTAGATTACCCTTGGGGTCCTTTCCAACTTTATGAATCCATGGACACAATTAACTTAGGTCTACTGATTTCAGTGAGTCTGCTTTTAGTGGAACTTAATTGGCTGAAGTTCTTAATACAGTGGTACCTCGGGTTAAGAACTTAATTCGTTCTGGAGGTCTGTTCTTAACCTGAAACTGTTCTTAACCTGAGGTACTTTAGCTAATGGGGCCTCCCACTGCCACTGCGCTGCCACCGCACGATTTCTGTTCTCATCCTGAGGTAAAGTTATTAACCCGAGGTACTGTTTCTGGGTTAGCGGAGTCTGTAACCTGAAGCGTCTGTAACCTGAGGTACCACTGTACACATCTTATCTTTGCTCCTGTTGCCTTTGAGACTTCTAGCTTTTAAACTGTTTTCACGGATGGGGCCCAATGTTGTTTGTTTTAGTTGTTGTTATTGTTGTTGTTGTTGTTGTGTGTAAATAATATATCCTGATTTTAAGCCATCTTGGCTATTTTCTGCAAAAGCTGTATATAAATCTTGATGATAGATAAAATAATTAAAGCACTTTCACCCTCCTCAATTGGATAGCCCTCCGGTTCCAACTCAACACAGGGGTGTCTCTGCAAACACAGCCCCCTGACCTTGGTTTCACAATCAAATAGCTCCTTTTGGAGAGCAGAGATTGGGTTTAACCCGCACGGCCACGTATCCTAGGAAACAGGCTGTGTAGCTTAGAACTATGGAGTTTGACTCTCAGAAGGAAGGAGCTGTGCTAGGAATGCAAAGAAGAAGCTGTTAATTTCTGTCAAGATTTAGGAATAATTTTAAAGTAAAGAATCTGACAGGGCGACAGACTCGCTCTTTTTGTCAGCTGCGCTAACAACTGCGAGAGATGGTGTGAAATTTGATGAACTCCATTTGAGCCCGGGAGACAGAAATAATTCAGACTCTAATTCCTCTTTCCCCACTGACTTGCTTGGGGGCTGGGAGGTGAACGATGAGGGTTTTTGCAGGATGAGGACTCTGGGAATGGTCTCAATGGTATCACTAGGAAATGGTTGAATATGATGATTTTGGTTTCCCATTTTCCCATTCATAGGCTTAGTTCTCATTTCCACATCAGCTTCCTCATGAAAATTCTTCAGCATTCTGTTGTGAATTTATCCCAATATGCACATTTTTGTATGCAATTTCCCCAAATACAATCCCTTATTGTATGCATGTATTTGTGTACTGTACCCTGCTGTATCCATTTTTGTAATATAGATTCAGAACTGCACAGCAAAATTCAGATAAGTGTGAATTTTGCAGGATGGCTGTGTCTCAGTTTTCATATTGTTTTTGCAAAGTGTGAATCAGGTAGATTTGCCTTTTAAATGTGAACTGGATTGAATTTCTACCCCTTGTTTAGGTAAAACTTGTTCGGGTTAAAGACTGTAGCAGAATCAGATTAGGGATTTCTGTAGCAGAGATCAAAATGTGATATGATAAGGTTCACCCTTCTTCACTGAGCTGCTGTTGCCCAGGAGCTATTCCCTGAAAAGGAGTTTGCAGTTTTAGCCATCAGAGAGGCCATGATTGAGAAATAAATAAGGCCTTACGAAGAAGGATCACAGATGGGGATTACAAGGTTAGGGACCAGAACCAAGTAGTGAAATTAGATAAATAATAATCGGAGCAGAGCATCAAAACCAGATTCGCATCCGGAGAATGAAAAGGATATGAGAATTATAAGTTAAGTAAGCTCAAAGGATAAAAAGCTCAGGCATGCACGGACCAGTGGTGTGAGTGTTATGAGTGAGCTTGAATCTCCTTCCACTTTACACATGAGGCTGGCAGGATGGAAATAATGTTAAGAACAGCTAAGAAATTGAATGTGAAGGATGGTCGTGATGGTATGGAAACACAGCAGGTAGGATACGTTGCCTGAGATTGTGAAGAGTAAATGTTCAGGTCTTCACACTGCCAT